TCAAGCGGCATTGATGAGACAAATGAAATGACTCCCTTCAATGGGGAGAAGCACCCAAAAAAATAGAAAAAACAATGAGTTTATTTTCCTAAATTACCTACTAGTAGGTTCTTCTCATAATCATCTAATAACTTTTATAATTTTGTAAATAAAAATACAAAAAAATTGCTCAATTTTTTATTTCCTCTTCCCATGTAATTCTGTAACAGACGCGTTTGCCATCCTTGCCAAAACTGGTGAGGAAACAAATTTCGTCTCCTTTGATTCTCTTCAATCAAAGTTCATTCAAAAACAACCAACGTGTTACATAAACTGATAAACACAGATTACAAAACAAAAACATTCAATTTCTTCAACCCAGCTTCGAAAGAACATCATTCAGAGTAGACACAGTATCCGCATAATACTTCTCCGCTTGTGGTGTGCTTTTAATTTTTGCAGCATGATCCAACTGCACAAACATGTCACACAACAAAATCAGCCGCTTAATTCACTAATTACATATGATTAACCATTAAGCAGACATATGAACATATCAAAATCGTCACTGGCAATTTATGACTTACATTGCTGATGTCCTGAAAGAGTTTGGAACTGAGTTCCTTGAGGGATTTCTTCTGGTCCTTAGGCTTAGCAGATATGACGGTGTTAAGATCATAACGAAGATACTCAGCTTTCAGCCGCAAATCATTCTGAACGTAAGGCCAAGCCTTCTTGTCGATCAGCTCCTTCACGTTTATTATATCCTTCGCTGATTCCTTCACTCTCTGCGCCGCCTCGCTCGGAGATAGAGGTTGCAGGTAGAACCTTTCTTTCAGAGGTAGTTTAAGGTCCCTTGGCTGATCTGAGTTCAGCGTTCCAGCTGCCATTTTCCATAATTATCACCAATCAAATCAAATTCCACGTATTCTCTTCCTTAATTAATAGAAATTGAAGTCAATTTGAAAATCACAATCGATAGGGTTAGGGTGGGAGGGAAGGGAGCAGCTAAGACTCACGCAATCCACCGGAAGGGGGAGGAGGAGGGCCGACTTTGATGGACTTGGCATCGGCGAGGACGGCTTGAGCGAAAGAGCCGGAGGCCAGGCCGGCGGCGACAAGACCAAGCATTGCCCGGCGGCTGGTTTCGGTGTCGGGCTTAACTTGCTGGGCTCTGAGAGTGAGCCCAGCGGAACGGGACAGGCCCAAACTCAACCTGGAGAAGGCGGGCAGGCTGAGGCGCGTGGAGCCAGAGAGTTGGAGGCTACCTTGAAGTTGAGAGTAACTGCGCAGGCCAGACATAGAAGAAGATGCCATAGCTTGAGCCATTTTCCTCCGATCGATTCTAGAAAAGCGATTTGGAGGGTAAGTGATGGGTTATAATGCGGGAGTGACGGGCAGTCCGGGCAGCTACTTATCTGCCCGTGGCCCACTTTGATAAGTTGTATGTGGTCTCCGCCAATCCGTTGATGCCAAGCTGGATCGTGTTGTGTAGTGATTGTATTGCTCACAGTTTGACGCGTCCACATGAAGTCAAAATCTCCTATTCGGGAAGTGTGGAATAAAAAGAATGAATCATGGAATTCCATGAATGAATAAATAACAAAAATGAAGCGATGAAAGAAATAGAGATAAATACATCATTGAAGATAAATTAAAAATAATGATCCCAAATTGCTATACTGACTAGGTGGGCCTCCAAATATAATGAGCAACACGATGTACAATTTGTAAATAATGAAATTCCTTATATATTTATTTTTTAAAAAAATTGGTTAAAACTTCCTATTTAATAATTGAGCATACGTCATATGTAATTAGCATTCATATTACATAATAATTTGTTAAATAGGAATTTTTAACCCCTTTGCCTTCATCTAATGTAAAATTACAAATTAGCGGGAAAAAACTTTATTTCGATGCATGTTTTAAAATCTAAATCTTTTCTCCTATTACTTGATTATTTTTTTATATACATGTTAAATTAAAAAAAATGCCCATACATGTATGCACGATCTACTATTAGTAAGGAAAAAAACTAGTTAAAGTAAGGAAAAATCTAGTTAATTTAATTTTATAAAATAAATGAAGAATGTGTGTATTAGAATTTGGAAAAGACAATAGAATCCATAACCATGTAGTATTTTTTTGTTTCAATTTTCGTTTTACTGCACACTTTTCATTAAACTATTATATCTTACCATCGCCAAAAAGTTTGAGTTATAGATATGCATATATTATTATTATATGGTCTAAATCAATATAAAGGAGAGCGGGTCAAAAAAAAAAAATCAAGGTATAGGAGGACAGTCTACCAGGTGAAGTGACGGGGGGTATGTATTGGACCCAAAGATTCGAACTTGGTGCTATAAAAAGACAGAAAGGTGAAGGAGAGAATTGGTGCAGCGTGTGCGTGTGGCTTTGGTATTTGGCAACAAGGCAATCGCTTTTGTGGTGGTGGTAATGGAATGATGCTGGCCTATTCCTTCTCTCTCAATATCTCTCGCATCCCTTTCTCCTTATATTCTCATTCTCTCCTTTTACGCTTCTTTTATATCTCATTCTTCTCCCAGTCATCCTAATTCGGTCCGTCATCCTTTTTTTCTCGTTGATTCCCTAACACGGACGTTAATCCATCTCTCGCCTCGCTCTCCGGGAGCCCTGTTGCCGGGAACTCTGAATTTCCGGCACTCCATCGCGCATGGGTTCTCTGGAGAACCCCAATTGGGTATTCGATTACGGTTATTTAGACGACATTCCCGTCCCCGGTGGTGACCTTCCTTCCCTTGACCCGCCCAGTTTTGCCTGGCCCTCTGATTCCCTCACTGCTCCTCCTGCTGCTGATTTCAGGTTACTCTTTTGCTTTTCAAGTGTTGTGGCTTTGTGTATTTTTTATGTCATCGGTCTTATTTAGAATGCTGAATGATTGTGGTGAATTATGGCCAAAATTTCTTTGGGTCTGAGTTCATTTGGATTAACAAAAACATCAAGAGACAAGCATGGCTGTTTCTGTTTGACTAAATTTCACAAAAAAAAAAAAAAAAGTTCTTCGTTTGATGTTAAATTCTTCTGTCTTCTTTACAAAGCTCTGGAGAATTATGGAGCAATTGCTTTTGCCATTGAGTCTCAGTTCAGCATATTGTAGGATAAATAACTCTTTGAATAAATAAAAACAGGACTTGGTTGTGCCAAAAGAAAAAGATCACTATTTGATAGGAAAGTGGATGTTTCTCTGGGACTTACCTAAAACAAAACTGAGTTCAGCTTCTCTTTCTAGCCGTATTGTTGACGGGGTAGCTACAACTATCAATTGCCAAACTGCTTGTTCGCCATTTCTTACTTACCAAACCGAGAAAATTCTCCATTCGAGACTCTGTTCTTTGGTTCCAAATAATTTTTCTTGTTTTTAATTATTGATGTTTTAATGCTTTCCTCAGAGGCGTTGATTGGTGGCTATTAAAAACTATTTACTTTCCTGTTACCTCTTGTCTTTTTATCTGAATTTATCATTCATATCTCTGACTTTTTCCAGTGTGGAGTTGGACGATACCTATGGGAATTCGGATAGCCTTAATGAACCTGGATCAAGAAAACGGTAAGCTATATTCATTGTTGCATACCTTTTGTTTTGCTTTGAGTTTACTCTATTTCTTGCATTTGGAGAACTCTTAAAACTTTCAATTTATCTATGCAAAATAGATCTATCATCTTTTCATTCTTTTTGCCCCTTTCCTATCAACTCATTTCTCTGTGATATTACTATCTCAGCCTGAGGTCAGGATCTGGCAATTCATCTGGTTCCAAGGCATGCAGAGAGAAATTGAGGAGGGATCGACTGAATGACAGGCATCTTCAAATTTTCTATCCCCTCTCTACGTCTCTGCTATCATGATGTCTTTTGTTTTAACGTTTTGATCTAATCTCTGTCATGCAACTGATTCAAGCCATGTTTGAAGGTTCCTAGAATTGGGTTCTGTCCTTGATCCTGGTAGGCCTGCCAAAACAGACAAGGCTGTCATATTAAGTGATGCAGTTCGAGTGCTCCCTCAGCTGCGAGAAGAGGCTCACAAGCTTAGAGAGTCCAACGAGAATCTGCAGAAGAAAATAAATGAATTAAAGGTATGTGCGATTCTTGGAATGAAGTATGAACACCCTAGTTGTCATATTAATAGTGAATCTGCAGATTTATGCTGCGACATGACGTCGTGGTCAGAGAGATACCAAATAATAAAAATATATATGATGAAAGGACAACAAATAATGCAACTCTGTTCACATGACTATTATGTCACGTAAGAGGATGAAAGTACATAATCTGTCTTGTTCCTTAGGCATGTGTTTTTGTTTGTGCAGGCTGAGAAAAGTGAGCTCCGTGATGAGAAGCAGCGACTAAAATCAGAGAAAGATAACATTGAGCGGCAAGTTAAAGCATTGAATTCACAACGAGGGTTCCTGCCTCACCCTCCACCCTTGCGGCAGCTCCGTTTCCTGCACCAGGACAAGTTATTGGGAGCAAGATGGTGCCTTTCATTGGTTACCCAGGAGTTTCAATGTGGCAATTCTTACCTCCTGCTTCTGTTGACACCTCACAGGACCATGTACTTCGTCCCCCAGTTGCCTAAAATTTGGCAATGGTTGTGTATCCTGGCCTTTCAATCTAACCTGAGAAAAAGGCTCCTCTTTTATGTCTGTGAATTTGAATTTACACTCTCATTCGCTAAAAATTTATAATCTTCGTTGGAAGAACGCCCTTTGATTTTAGAGTGTTGTATTTTCTGTGGTTGCATAGCTTCTGGTTGTAGTTATATAGTTCTAGCCACAGCATTGACGCTGACACGCTGTTAATACTCATTCACTGAAAGCAATGAGTACGATTTTGTGGATTGACTTAAACACAACATATGATCAACAAATTTTGTGGTGCTGATGATCCTCTCTTATATCATTACTCATTCAGAGGCCAAAGGGTCCATGATCTCAATATGAGTTCATAACTATGTACTATATTGTACAGAGGTGAAAGTCTAGCAGGCTATGACAAAACTGAACTAAACATAGTAGCGTAAACTCCTAACAGGGCAGTTTGAATCCCATGTATCTTCCAGATTTATAGTCCCTCCAAACATCAATGGCTCCAAAGGTGGTCATTAGAACAATGCTTAAAGCCATAACTATAGCAACTGAGAAAACTATCAAGGATGCTCTTCCGTACTTGTGAACTGCTCTCTGCACCACCAGTAACCCAAGCATTGATGCCACAAAACATATAATCGCTAATACTAGTGCCGTCTCTGTGTGTTCCATGCCTAACAACAGGTACTGCGATGCCGACATTGTAGAAGAGAAGAAAACCATGAAAGAACAGGTTGCTGCTGTCACCTATACAGGCAAAAATTATCTCAGTTGTTCCCAAGCTATCTAATGTGTGCTTACTTTTTAGTCATCACTCATACACCTATTATATCTTTCATAATAAGTTTGAACTCACAACTATTATCGGGCTCTAAGACCCCGACGTATGTAGGTATTTTATATATTGAAAGTCTTAAATCTGTAATGTAATGAGACTTACCTCAGGTGCTATTCCAACTTGAAGAAGAAGGGGGCTTATTAGCATTCCACCTCCAATTCCAAAGACACCACCCAGAACACCCGCTAGTAGTGCCATTAATGGGAAGATAAGCTTATCAGATGGTCCATTTACAGTCAAATCCTGGCCCTGTAATGTCGATTGAATGAGATTAGGCTGATTAGCCATGCTTTTAAGTCTTTAACTGCTTGTTTGAAAAAGTGAAAAACTTTGTTCTTAAGGCAATGAAGTTTATGAACCTACCTGGCTTATTAGATGTTGATCTTGATGGCTTTCTTTTCTGGACACAATCCAATAAGTGAAAATTACAGCAAGAGGTACTTGAACTGATGAGATAATCCAATATACCACACCACATGGCTCCATTGGAATTATACTCTGCACATAGTTTATCATTTCACATCTGTAAGAATCAAATCAGTCTCCAGTGGCATTACCCAAAAATGAATAAACCAGACCGTCAATTTCAGTTAAGAGTGTTTGTTTTCGCAAAGCCGCTTTTGGAGAAACGTGGTTTTCACGGCTCCTGCCACGAGGACAAGCATGCACATAAACTAGGTTCTTCCACATCTGTTTTTGCTTGCAAACATGTCAGAAGTATATTTCAAATAATGAAGTATGCTTCTCAGTTCCATTTCATAAGACTATTGATTCCTAGTAATTTCTTTTTTTAGGAAAAAAAAACTTGTGTTTTAGTATTTTACTGTTGTGAAATTGTTGACGCACGGCCTATGGCAAATAACCACATACACTAGCACACTTGAGAGATTCTTAGATGCTGATATAGGACAGAGGGACCACCGCATCAAGGTGAAGCATGCCGACTCTAAAATTGACTAATATTCACAAAAAGTAGTTTCTCCACCACTTCACTCTATATTGGCTCAGGACAGCCCCACTTGATTCTGCGTCGTTGAAAATGGAGAAATACAAAAACCAACCAAGAAAGAAGAAGGAAAGCTCACAACTCTTGAAGCTATTCCCTCATGCATCATGAAGCTTTATCACATATGATCAAAAGATAAAGACGAACATTTTTTTGGGGACTTGTTCAGGTTCTTTTCCGTAGGTGATTTATACTAATAAATTGTTTAATTATTAAAGCACTTGCAATGCTTTTTTGTTTTTGTAGATTTTATTTTCATATAAAATTCAAGGCAAACTATCACAGTATCTTGACCTAGACCCCAAATGTAAGATGTAAGTGAACAAATAATACCTAAATTAATAAACCCGTAAAGCTCTGAATTAAATTATGGTAATTGCTTTCTCAATTTGTTGTCATGAAGGAAGAAGAGAAGAAGAGTGAAAGGTAAAGTAGCCGAACCTGTCCGTACTTATTGCCGCGAAGAAGATAGAGGAAGAAGAAAGAAAGCCAGATCAAAAGGAGAAGTCCTAGTTTGAGCCAAGGAAGCTCCAATCTGGAATTCTCTTGATGACGATAACCCAGAAGAGGCTCTTTAAAACTCTTCAAATCTCCATTATTTTCTTGTACCGTCCCTTTCTCATCGACTTCCCCGAACCCAACGATATTCTTCCTGCTAATCTCTTCTGATTCAGTCTTCCAAAACATAACCCCACTTCTGCAAGTCTTGGCCGTAGACCAAGCCAGAAAAACAGCAAACAGAATGGTTATCAGCCACTCGGGGAAAACGAGGTTGCAGATAACCCCAACACTCACTCCTAGCAGCATACAAGGTTCTGATAAAAGAGCTATGTCATAGTCAGTCAATGTCTTCCCACCAAATATAGGACACAGATTGCACAAAACGTTCGCAGCAGAACCCCCTGTGACCATGAAAGCCGACAGACTCGAAGCTGTTTTGAGGTCTAAGCCAGCGATAATGGTGAGTATTGGTATGAAGATCCCACCTCCTCCTATTCCACCAGCACTGGAGATGGAGGAAGCTATGAAGGAGAGAATTCCTGCTACGATTAAATGGGTTGATGGGTGGAATTGGGTTTCTTGGAATTTTTGCAATTGGGATTTCAATTCAGAAGCTTTGTGCAGGAAAAAATGGTGGCTTCTGAGAATCTCTGAAACTGGTTCATGGGTTTGAGTTGCATTAGAAGGAACGACGAAGAACAAGAAGATGATGACGCTGGTGAAACTGAGGATTAAACTTGTGAGGCTGCGGCTACTCATTTTAAAGTCAGAGATTTCAGAGATTATAGATGAGTGGGATATATAGTGATGACAATGTGCTTGCTTAAATGGCTTTTATATAGGGACAAGGCGGAACTGTTTATATATATAAACACAGACACACACACACACTTTTAAAACAAGAGGGTCTGTCAGATGCATCGTCTGGGTGAGAAGTTTGTTTATTCTTATTAAAAGTTTAGTTAACATGTTCGTCTGGTAGTTCTAGGATGTGTCCAACTTGCAGATATTTTTGATAATTTCAACTTGCAAATGTTGTGTTAATCCTCACAATGACTTTGATCAAGAGGTTTTTAAAAAATTGCTGGAGGTATGAGTATGTAAGAGAGACATTAGAATTAATCTACTATAGATTCACAGGAGGCAGGTATTGTTGCTATTAATAATAACATCATTATTATGGATCCCACTTAGGAGTAATAGTTAGTAGAAGAACTTTGCTTGAGCAGTGAAATTGAAAATGACTCAAAAGCAGATAGAGCGAAGGCCCACAGGGAGGGACACAACGTGTAGAATCGGACAAATGCGAGGAGGTCCTCACAGAGAAAATTAAAAGTCGCAATGATGATAGGACAAAGCGATCGTGTTATGATTTCTGAAATGTCATGTTTATGACCAAAAAAAGAAACAAATTATACTACTTTCCATCATTTACTTATCACTACTTAATATTAAAATTTGTTTGATTTTTATTTTAATCATAAATATAAAAACTCAATCTATTTTATCTTTTATATTTATCTATTTTTTTAAAATAGTTTTTATTATAATAATAGTAGTTCTAACCAATACATTTGATTAACGAGAATGTTTTAGGAAATACAACACTTAATTATTACAAATAACTAACTAAATAAACTTACTTAATCTACTCAAATTAGTCAATTAACTCTTATATTAAGGACTGAAAATAGTATAAGAGTCATTTAATTCATTTGAATAAATTAAGAAAGAGGAAATCAGCAAATTCAACAATAGTATTACTATATTATTTGACAATTGAGGAATAACGAAACGGGTATTACCAATGTGTTATGAGGTATAACTTGCTTTTCTTTTTACCCTTATTAATTACATATTTCTGCATTAATTAACCATCATTTTTTTTTTATGTAATTGAGTTATTTGTATTTTATATATATAGTATGGGAGGGTGTAATAATTTTGGTATGTGATGAAAATGTGTAATGAGAAAGCATTGAATTGGAAGAAGGTTGAACGTATAGCTTAACATTGAAGCATCTTTTCTGATGGACAGGTTAGATTAGATGGACTCTTCAATTATGTTGTTGGGCACATACGTGTGATGGGGAATGCTGAGCAAAAGTAAGATAGAGGATAAGATTTTGTTCCCTTCTAGCTAGTTCTGATCACAACACTGCCTCACAACTCAATGCTTCCAATTTCCAATTCGTAATCATGTTTTTTTTGGTTGTTTTTTTATCCTTTTGTTTATTTCACAATTATTTTCTGAGTTTCAAACTCTCAAAGAACATAATAATAATAATAATAATAATAATAATAATATGACACCCTCTCTGTGCGTCATATGCTCGTATATAATCATCATCAGTACTGAAATAAACTAAGCATGACAACTAAATTAAATATTACCTCCGGTACTTATTATAATATTTTGATTGTAATCTATAAACAAGATCTTATAATTAGGATTTAAGTAACATATAAGAATCAAGTTAAGACAGAGATAGTGATAGAATGGCTTTTCATTGTCTTACTCCAACCATGTTCAACATTATATAATTAATACCGGAGGTAGTATATAAGAATCAAGTTGATGCAGAGATAGTGATGGAATAGCTTTTCATTGTCCTACTCCCACCATGTTCCCCATTGGATTCACTCTTCAAACAAATTGCCTCCACCTGTACTTTGATATCGACACCTGTCTCTCTAGATCTCTCTCTATATGTGTGTGTGTGTCTCTCTCTCTATATATATATATAGATGAAGTTAAAAGCAGGCTATGGCTAGGTTATAACTTATTAGTGGTGGCAGCTTGAGAATGAGTCAAAATTAGGTCTTAGCTTTTTTAGCCAGGTTGGTAACTTTGGAATTAATGAATCGAAGTTTGGTTTTAGCTTTTTTGGGGGCCAGGTTGGCAACTTAAAAATGAGTCAGAGTTAGGTTTTAGTTTTTGTTTTTTTTGGTATCAAACCTGTCGATATTTGGTAGTCAACCAAATTAAGCCAAGAAGAACTATGAGGGTTATTATAAAGCTCCTTTTTTTCTTTTGAATAGATATAATAAAGCTCTTTCAATCTCCGGTCAAAAAAAAAAATAATAATAAAGCTCTTTCAATAATAGATATTTAACGTAGTTATATGCTCAAAATTCGTTACTCAATATCACTAATTATAAGTTAGCACGCGGCCTTTATTACCAAGTTAGATATATCTTTTTTTTTTGTTTAAAATATTTTTCTCTAAATACTATTTGCTTTGATATTCTAATTAAACAACCTCCTAGCTACTTAATTAAAGAATCTCCTACAATAATATTTTAAAAGTTTAAAAGCACACATTAATTTTCATTAAATACTTTCAATCTATGCACTACCATCAGTCCTTAATATAAAGTTAGTTAATTAATTTGAGTACATTACAAAAATTAGTTAAGTTAATTATTTAGAATAAATAGGTGTTTTTTTCTTAAAATATCTTTATTAATTATATATATTAATTAAAATTACTATTTGATGAGACATTTCACTTATACAACTATTTCAAAGACTACCTTACAAAAATAAATAAATATAAGAGATAAAGTAGATTAAAATATTATATTTAAAACCAAATTAAATATTAAAGTAATTCTTATATTAAACATCAGAGCTACTATTATTGCCAAGTCTTTTAGTATTCAACTGTGTAAGTTGGTTTGTGTGTCCTCATGGATTAACATAGTTAAAAATGACTTGCATCTCAATTGGTTTCTGAAAACTGAAATTGTGATCAATTAATATGATGAGATTTATGTTTGAATAAATTCTTATAAAAACAGTCATTTTGATATAAATTTTGTTTGAAAGATATATCCAAAGGTCATTTTTAAAATTTTTTTTAAAGCTAACAGTCAAATCAAAAGTAAAAAAAAAATTACGTTACTTTTGGGAAAAAAAATAGTTGGCCGCAAAATCATATAAAAAATAAACTTCTTTTAACCAAATAGCTTTTTATAATCTCAACTGACTTTTTAATGCTATCCTGAACATATACAAATTACAAAGTTTGATCGGTATGGCTACAAAATGTAATTATATTCATACCTATCATGTATATAATTAATAATTATTCAACAACCAGACACAAAATGATGCCATGGATGTTTTACCCACTTAGCAACTTGTCGTTAAAAATAATTAAATGTACGGCCTATCCGGGCTTACAATTATTTTTAATTTAGTCAATTATATATATTTTTAATTTAATACATATGTGACATAATATGACCAAGACCGAACTTATTGTAATTTGTAATGCCAATAGATCATGTTTTTTAAAATAGTTCTAATTATAAAAATTTATTTATAAACTACAAACAAAATCTTATAATTAGAGCCGGAGATAGTATTACATATAAGCTGGCCTAAAGGAATATTATATTACTCTAATCTCTATTTTACGTTGATAATTAGATGAAATCAATAATAGCTGTGAAAAATATTCAATATCAATTTAAGCAATTAATGGTGGGTTCTTCGAGGATGTGTTTTGTTTCATGTTAACAACTACTAAATCATCAAACAAGCTGGTACAAAGTCCTAAATATGTTGTATTAAAATGATTTAAGCAATTAATACTTACCAAGTTTAATTCGATCCAAATGATCTGAACTCCAATATAACTTCATATCTACCTAATATTATTTAACTAATATTATGTGTTAAAACTTTGAGAATAAAATAAATTTTATTAGTACATTTACTCCAAAACTTTGATAATGCTTTAAAAATCTAATTTGATGGGATTGATATCACGTAGTCCTAAAAAGTATTATATTGTAGAGAATGATAAGATATGAAAATAACAAATTAATTTAATAAGAATAAAGATAATGACGGGTTGATTATATTAATATTCACTTTTGTAACGTCTTATAAAAGGCGAAAAATAAAAGGCAAAACGGGATCAAAGATTCAACTACCCAAAGTAGAGAACTATTATAAATAATAAAAAAGAACAAATTTTATATCTGAGTAATATTTGGTTTGATAACTTATGACCAATTCTTCATAAATCAAAAAGTAATTTGTCACATTGCATATATTAAAAAGAAATTAAAAAATAACGATGGTCCTGAATAAAAATTTATTTTATAATATAATTTGCATCGTAAAATAAATTTTATATTTAAAATTAAAACTAGTACTCGCATTTATTTTGATTATCAGTGTAACAAAATATTAATTTGCGGACAACATTTTTTCAAACACTAAGTGGGAGACTTCCCTGACTACCGGAGTCTAGTAAAATTAGTTAATTTATCTCAACATGACTAATTAAGATTTGAATTCTCGCTAAAAGAAGTATTTGAATTTAATACTTGACAGTATCTCAAATAAAAATTATCTCTTATAAGAGTACATTTGTGCCTAAGCAAAAAATGAGAAAAGAGTAATATTACTGAGATTTTTTTTTCCCCCGCCAACATGATTGAATTGGGTCCGGAAAATCAAAGATGGGAACAAAGAGTTTATATATATATATATATATATATATATAAAATGTTAAGTCAATTATACCTTTATTAAATTGGAGATAGTAATAAAAATATTAAATATGAGATGAAAATTCAAACATTTTTTTACCATAATAGGTCAAAAAACCTTTTTTTTTTATCATAACATACATACCCATAATATTCATAATACTTTTTCATAAACTGTTTGAACTTAAAAGGAGGCATTAGTTTTATTAGATTATAATGATGAGATGAAAATTTAGACATTAAACAATGAGCATTTGTTAAAAAAAAATATTTTCACATTTATGACGTGCTTAAAAATGTGTTTCTAAATTTTCGTAAGGCAATCATCATCTGTTCCTTATATTCATGCAGGGGTTTAATATATTAATTCCACAAAGTTTTTT